GATTTAAAATTCACAGATGATGATGTAACCCATTGTGCTGGAAGGAAGAAGGGTGGGTGTGTTGAGTCACCAATAACATAGAGACAACGGTTTGGAGACAATTTTTAAAAGTCACCCAACTATGAAAGAAATTATATTTACCATAGATAAATTACAAAATACTGAAAAGTATATGGTAAAGAAAACTGAAATTACTTATAATCTCAATACCCAGATATAACTACTCATGTTTTGTTTGACTGTTTAATATTATGGAAATGCATTTTTAAAATCATAGGCATGTAAATATATTAACATTTATTAAATCACTTTTTGGTTGAATATTAAATCATTTTTTAGGTAGTTTAAGTTTTTCATTATCATAATCAAGACAGTGATGAACATCCTTACAGGTTTGTTTTGCGACTATCACTGATTATATTAATATAAATTTCTAAAAGTGGAATTACTGACCCAAAGTGAAAGCATTTTCTTTAGAAGTCTGGAGTTTCTAATTTAAATATAAAAATTTGACAAATTTATTCTTTGGTAGTTTTAAAACTTATTTGGAAACAACTGCAAGTTTACACATTAAGTTGCAAAATTTAAAATGGTACCCCAAACACCTGTATACCCTATACTCATATCCACCTACCGTCAAGGTTTTATCTCATTTGCTTTATCATGTGCATTTCCCCTTACCTCTGTATATACTAGGCAGACAGACAGAAAGATGGACAGATATTTTTTTCCTGAACCATCTGTAAGTTATATACATCATCATGGTTCCTTATCCCTAAATATGCCAGTACTTATTTCCTAAGAATAAGGATATTCTCTTACATAAGCACAGGATCAACCTTGTAATTTTGTAATGATAGAATACTTTTATCTGCCTACCATTCGCATTCCAATTTTGTCAGCTGAATAATGTCCTTTCTCTTCCACCATCAGATCTAATTTAGGAGCAGGACCTTAAGTTAGCTGTCTTATCTCTTGAGTTTCATTTAATCTGGCAAGTTTTCAAAGCCTTTCTCTGTCTTTTATAGCATTGACATTATTGAATCCAATCTTCCCACATTTTTAATTAGTACAACATGCCTCATTTTGATTAGACTGAGGTTATGCATTCTTGGCTGGAATATTGCACGAATGATGATGTACCTGTCTCAGAACATCACACCTGGAGGCACATGCTATGTCTATCCTTCATTGGTGATGTTAATTTTGATCACCTAGTCAAGGTAGAGACCCCTTTCTCCAATGTATAATTAGTGTGATTTTTTTCCCTCCAGTGTTACGAATAAAAGGACCATAAAAATATTTTTTTCCTTATCAAAACTGTCCTCTATATTTAACATCTATTGATGAATCTTGACTGATCTAATCTTTACCACAATGGCTACAAGACGATGATTTTCCAAATCCAGTGCTCCCTCCACATCTGCCATCTGCCCTTGGCTGTCTGCTACAAGCAAAGCCTACTTTCCCCTTCACTTATCTATTTATCAGCATAGAATCATGAATTCCTACTTTTTCCAAGGGTGTAAAATTTATTACTGTACTTATTTGGTGTTCAAATTGTCCCAGATGTGGCCAGTGCGAGCCTCTTCAAGCTTGCTCTGTGTCCTTGTGGCATGGCCCCAACCTTTATTTATTGATTTTTTTTTTTTTTTGGAGCATTTAATTAGTTTGTGGCATACCTGCTGTTCCAAGCTCATCTTGTTCTTATTCTGCTTCAGCCCTGGAATTAGCTGTTTTCCAAAGCCTGGGATTCTTTTAGTGGGGAATGGTTTTAGAGACCAAGATCTGAGCTCTAGGTGTGCTCATTTGCTATTGGCGTTTCTTTGCTCTCAGCCGGCAGTGCTAAGAAATACATGCACATATATACTCATACACACACAAATGCCTAGAGTACTCTTACACACGAACCTAAACATGCATATACTTACATGTGTACACACATACATACATGTATTGGAAACGAGTTCATATCAATACCTCCAATTTCAGTCCATCCCTACAGAGTCATTCTTACCTTCCCCCATTCCATATCTGTGTGTCTCTTCTTCAACAATGAGAATGCTAGCTCTCAAAATCAACACATTTACTCATTTGCTCAGTCATATAATTTACCTAAAAGAGTTTCACCACTTTGCGCACACAACCACAATGAATAGATCTACTAAGTGGAGTTCAGGATTTGTTTGTAATTCTTCCCTCTACAATAAGATTAATGGCATATAATAAAATATTGTTTTCATAGGTTATTTGTATTTAATTTCTTCTTTCTCCTTTTTTCCCTCTTCTCCATCAATGAAGTTAAGGTATCCACTTGAAATTCAATTAAGTTCAGACAAATTGATTTTTGTTTTTAGACAAATTGGTAGGCATTTAGCAGAACTGTGAAAGTTAAGGACTGAGTTGACAATGATAGAAAGTTTTCCTGCTTGTTCACAATTTTATTTTGGAATCACAAGCAGATGGTAGAATTTAATGTACTGTAACTTTAAGGCTCAGAAAGCTATGATCCTATGTAACTACCATGATCAGAAGTATAGATGGTTCCTGACTTATGATGGTTAGACTGACATGCTGGGCAGTGGCAGTAAGGCTCAGCTCCCAGTTACGGTCACGAGCGTAAACAACCAATACTCCACAGTGAACTGTGCACCAGGGTTTTTGGGATATTGCGGTTTTGCACCCCATCACATCCACAAAACACTCATCTGGGTGCCAGTGTAATTTCAGCTGTGTACGGTAATGGTAAGTACCTATGCAACCATTTGGTTTCTCACTTTCAGTACAGTGTTCAATAAGTTACATGACACATTCAATACTTTATTATAAACCAGGATTTGTGCTAGATGATTTTGCTAATGTTAAGTGTTCTGAGCATGTTTAAGACAGGCTAGGCTAAGCTGTGATGTTCGGTAGGTTAGATGTATTAAATGTATTTTCAACTTATGAAATTTCCAATTTATGATGGGTTTAATGGGACGTTACCACCCTCTAAGTTGAGGAGCACCTGTAAGAGATTCAACTCATGTGACCAACCAGTGACAAGTACATCCATGAAGATCCATTCAATAGGAGCTGCTCTTAGCTCTCCACTGCCATGCTGGGCAGGAAGGATACAAAACATTAATTTAGAATAGCAGGCCTGAAGGACAGCATGAGACTCCACGCTTTTATTTCTCAGTCACCCTCATGTTCATACTGCGTTACTTGGCTGACAGAAAACTGATGGATTCTGTGTGTGAAGTGGATGTCAAATAATTTTGATATCTTCATTTTGAACTAAAGCAACCAATGGTTTCAGACTATGTGGTATAGATACTTTACTAAATAGTTTTCTTTAACTTTTATGTGGTCTCCATATTCTGTATTAACATGTTTAGTAACTTTGTTATGCTCATCTGATGAGTAAGTAACATACCTGTTCTCCTCTGTAGATGACATATTCAGCATATGCCAGCCCATTCACACTTGGTCTCCCAATAACTGAGTGATGTCCCGGAGGGGCATGAGCCATTTTCATGGTGCTGAATTGCAGAAAGGATTTTCCTAGGGTCACTCTACAGAAAAGCATTTGTCTAAAAAAAAGAGGAAAGCAATGCTGTGAGGGACACTTTAAATCTTGGACTGACATAACTGTTAGGTTCTTTGATTTAAAAAATATTTAATACAAGGTGAGCTCATTTAAATGTCATTTTCATATTTATGAATAGAAATGGGATGAGATTTGATATATTGCTTTACTATAAACAGCAGGCTCAACAGTTATACTTAAAGTTTCAAGTAGTTTTGGTGTGGTTTAGGAATCAATCACAATAGCTATCCGGGCAAGTTTTGACGGATGAAGAAAGAACACTAAAAACTGAGTTCTTGTACAGGATAGAAATGAAGTGAAGAAAATGAGCAAATGGCAGCAGCTCCTATGATATTATGATTCGGATTTATTCATTAAGAAGGAGTAAAAATTGGGATAAGATAAATAATAAGTAGATCATATACAGCAATACTTGCTTAAATTTATGAGTGGAAATTATACTACCTGGGTAAAATATGAATAGGGCAGATGTTAAATATTATAGAGAAGAAAGGTTGATAGGAAAGAAAGTATATTATAAAGAAAGTTTGCCAACCCTTAATATAAATAATAAACATTCTAACTAAACAGTAAGATTAGTCACACTGTTGAATGTAAACAGTTATTATTCACACAGTTTCAGTATGGAATTTGATCCTTGCATTGTGACTAGTCAGAGATATTATTTTGAACCAATTAAAAATTATGCCACACCCAGTGTAAATAGGTCCTGCCTGAGCTGGCTTTTTTAGTGTGATCTATCCTTTGAGATGCTGGCTCAACTGCATTCTTCTGTTGGTCCCCGAGGTAAGGGTTTTGATCTACATAAGAGGGAGCTTTTTGAGCTCCATCCCCTCATTGTGGCAGCACTATAGTATCAATGACCTCTGCCCATTCAGCTGACTGAGACCACTGTCATGGCCGGTTCAGGTCCATATGCCACAAAAAGACCGACAGTACAGGCCTCATCTCCTGCCTTCTGCTTCTTGCCCCAGGGCTTCTCTGTTGTTGCTGGAGGCAGGAGAAGCAGCAGGATCTGCCCAGCAGCCCCTGAGGCTGCAGGCTGCAATGGGCAGGTGGAAAGTACTGGCTCCTGCCTCCTCACCAGCTTATACTGTGCACTGTGCTGCATTCTGCAGCCCAAAATAAGTTGGGGTGAGGGGTGTGGGGGGTGGGGCACCAATGCCCTGTGGGGTAAATGCTAACAAGTGCAAGACAGGAGCCAGGTAGTAAATTCATCTCTCTTGAGAATGTAGTAATTCATATGGCTTCCCTAAAGATGTCCCATGACTGAGCAACCAACTGCACTTGTTCCGAAACTGTGGCCAGATGTTCGAGGCCCCTCAGTCTCTTTCTGTGCCCTTATTCCTGCTTCTCTGGGACTGTACTTGCCAAGAAACTTTTGTATGTTACATATGCTTGGGAATTTCTCTGTATTACTAATCACGGCAGCCTTAACGGAAAATTTCCTTCTGGACATATGGCATCCATCTTAGAACTGCTGAATTTGTTCCACAATGTAACTGAGAGAGATAAGTTTTAAGGTCAACAACTATAATGAATTTCAAGGTTATATGGGTCTTTTTAAGGTTTTAACTGAATTACAAGATCTCTTATTAACCTGACTTTGCAAAAATAACACATCTAGTTACTTTAAAGAGAGATGTAATAAACTTCAATCTTTGTATTGGCAGGGAAGGGAATAGAGAAGAGAATATTTTTTTCACTGACTTCACAGAGAGACTATAGTATTATTCTCTTCAACTTCTGAGATTTAAAATCTTATTTTAAAAGCTAATATTCATTTGTTTATTGACTCCAAAGTTATTATTCTGAAAGTTGGACTTTTGAAGGTCAATTATACATCTTGCCTTAAAACATCACTAGCAACATCAGTAGCACATTAAAGATTCTACTTGTTTATAGAAGTTGTGTCTTAGTTCCAAGTGACTGCACCTAGAAGTGCTTGTTCTGAAGAAATAATTCTTATCCTTTTCTTGTTCTGTTTCTGAAGCAAGAAAAGTAAAGCCCAGAGAAAAAAGCCAAGATGGAGGGAGTTTCAATGTCACCTATGACTGGTTGACATATATCAGGTTTTTATTGCTACTACTATCAGCTCTGCTGTCATTGCTCTTATTAGAGCAAAGGCCGATCAGCTATTCCCACCCAATCCCCAACCTGTCTGACTTATTAGGATTAAGAATGAAGATAACCGGTGACTTCTGCACAGCCTGAAAAGCAAATGTGGTTTATGAACTTGGGATAGCAACTGTTACACGAAAGGTAAGATGCTCACCGGTGACATATATAACATGACCGGTCTTTGTGTGTGGGGCAGCCCGTTCCTCCGCCAATTCCATAAACATACTGGTTGCTTTTAGAGGAGTTTTCAGCAAAATAAATCCCAGCACCAAACATTCCTCCGATGTATGCATGTCTCTCATCAAATCCCTTATGAATAATGGCATTAATGAAAGGAGAACCTAAAAATATAAAGATAGATTAGTTTGTGAACATTTTTCCAGAATCTTGATTAGCTTTATATTATTTGCACTTGGCAGATTAATATCAAGTAATTAATACATAACTGAAGTTAATTTTATAAGATGTCTATTACAAAATTATTATCATGTACTAGAATCTTATCAAGGACCCACAGTACTCACCAAGCAAAGATGTTACATGGATTTTGCAGATGGCATGAGATTTTAGAGAGCAAAGTACAATGTGGCTTTGAAAATACAGATTATTTTATACCCAATCTTTAAACAAGCAGAGATAATCTGATAAACTACAATAAACTATTTCATTCTTTAGATGGCTCAACTTGCAATTTAAGTTCTGAAACAATTTCTGATAAGTTGTTTTCATTGTACATGCCTTAGAAACCCTGTACGAGAATGTAATGCATTAAAAGCTGGTATTAACATGTAATTATTTGGAAAAATGAACCATTTTTAACACAACACTAATATAGTCAAAAATACAGGCTTTTAATTTTGTTGGACTTTGTGAAAGCCCTGAGGTGTCTACAATCACTGTCATGACACTCACCATGAAATAACATGCGCTCATTGTGATGGTTATGATTCTCCTCAGACACTTCCTTTTGTCTGTGACAGAATCGTTCCCTCAACTTTTTGTTGACAACTTTTTGAATCTTTAAGGATGAGGAAGAAAGAAGCAATTTAGTGAAATGTATGTTAATTTGCAGTTTATGATTTAAAATGAAAGGTATGCTGCTTTCCTTTAGGAAGGTCCAATTTTTGTTCTGTTTGTTTAAGGCATTATTTAAAACTGATAAAGTTGCCAGGTCAGGATAATTCAGTTCATACTCTGGCTTTCAGTGACATAATTTTTCAGTTACGGTTTCTGCTTGTTATTCTGCACCAGACCTGGCTCTACTTCAGAGTCGCCCAAGGAGTTAAAAAAAAATAGGTTATTCCTAGATTCCTCCCCAGAGTTGCTGAATTTTAGGATATAGGGGCCTGTAAATCTGTATTTTTCAAAAAGTTCCCTGTGTAATTCTGATGTGCACTGGTGTCATTTCCACAGGTCTCTTTACCCAAAGAGTTAAACTAGTTCTTAACAGATTTTATTCATCTTCGTGGTATCCCTTTGAAAAACGCATATAGCAGTCATCTATCCCATATCATAAATTAAGATACTGAGATTAGGAGATATATGCATTCTGATATAACCACTGACTCAATCAGATTGGAAAAATCCAGGCCTTTAATGTTACTTTGAAATGGTGATAACAAAAATTACTTTCAGCTATGGTCCGAATTTGTGGATGAGCTGGGAGTTTTATCACTGTATTTGCATCACCAATACGAGCTGAGCTAGTCTTCTGTTTGCAGCTTTGGTGTTACCTGGGTGTCTCTGTTTCGAGTGAAGTATGGTCTTGAGGGGTTAGAGATTAATTATAGTGATGAGGGTGACACCTGATTGCAGGGCAACAGGTAACTGACTATCCTTGAGTTTTTCATTGTCGATATTTGATTTTCAGGCAAAATTTTTTTCATTGTCGATATCTGATTTTCGGGCAAGCTTTGTAATCTAATTTTTACCTTGAAATTTTAAAAACTTACTCGAATGACGTTGTATCTGTTAAAGATGCCACCAGCATTACCACCATCTCTGTGTTCTCGAATTGTACTTTGCATCTGCAAGAAACAAAATAATAAACTTTCTGAAAACATGCTGGTGTATAAATTTAAAGACACTTCTTTATTTGTTTTCAACATTTCAAATCTATTACATTGTTTCACTGATAAGTCTAAGATTTAGCACTTATAAATAAATAGGCGTTCACTATAAATTGATCAACAAGTTTAGTAGATAAGAATTTCTGGTGAGAATATAGTCATAAACATAAACATTTAAATTCTGCATTTTATTTTTATTTCTTAATAAAAGCTTTGGATGACTTTTTCTTTAAAAACAATGAGGAAACATAAAATATCACATGAAGTTATCTACATTACTATTTTATGTTACTGAGAAGGGAAGCAGCGTTGTGATTACATCAAACTAAAACTTCTCATATTCAATTAATACCCTACTGGACAAATGCTAAAAATAAATGCAAAGAATTTCTCATAATCAATAAACTTCTGCTCCTTAGATGAAATATTCCATATTATCTCTTCAATTTGGGATCTCAAAGTGTATCTACACAGATCAGGGGTAGTTGAATATAACATATTACTACATGGAATAACTTCCTTCTGAATACTGCTCATCCTTCTTCTACTTTCCAAATTAAAACAAATTATTATGAAAAAGTAAAATGTTTTAAAGATCTAAATTTCTCATAAAATTGACTCAGAGTTAATTCTCTAATTCACCATTCCATACATGAAGTTATTCATCACATTTTGACATTATTATCAGAATCTGCTAACTACTAGGAGACGATTAGGCAATAACACACCAGAAGACATGATGGTTTCCTGAAAAACTGGCTATGAGCTAAGATACTACCTTAAGGTAATTGTCCTAAGTTCCCAGAATGACAATGATATGAGCATTAATTAAAAAGCAGAAATAAACAAAAAACGTAGGCATTCCTTGCTATGCAAAATAATACCAGTAGGCACTCTGTTTATTATGTTTCAGAAGTGAGGCAGAAGCCATCGGTAGAGAAGGAATCTGTATGGCTTCTGTCTACCAGGAGGTTCATACAAATTGCCTTCCTATGGTGCTTTAAAATCATCGTGACTAGAGAGATGAAAGGTGACTCAGAGAGGAAAGGGAAGAATGACTCAAATTTCCCAAACATACATGAAAATTAGGCATGAAATTCTATAATCGTGAGGCAAGAGTCTCATTCCATATTATTCTTAGATAGCATTTGAATAATATAAAAAGAAATATTGTTCTAATAGGGTCCTTACTTAAATGAGTTTCAAGAAAGTCTCCAGAACAAAAAGAGATCTAAATCATCCATTGGAAACCTTAGGCTTATGATATGAAAACCATGTGGCACAGTTCTAATTCATAGTCCTACTTTAAATTTGGCAATATTCCTCCACAATGGTTATGCGATAGGATAATAGATAGGCAAGTGACCGTAAGTAAAAGTAAGACAAGCTTACCTCTCTTGGAAAAACAGGTTTAACCACAGATTTCAGGAAATGATAACTAAAAAAAAATTTTTTTTGATAACTAAAAATTTTGATGTATATTACCTCCTCTTCTACTGACTGATATTCCTTGTCCTCTGGAGCAAGATCTAGCAAAATAGTTCCCTGATTAACACAGTGAAAAGTCAAATAAGGGTTGGTGCCTGCAGGAAAGAAAAATTAACATAGTTAACATAAGTCTTACCGTTCAAGCTCTATCTTAGGAAAAACTTTGTCATAAAGAATTGATTTTTGGAACAAGTCTAAACTATTTGAAGTTGGAACTTAATATATAAGGTTATATTAAACAAGTACATCCAAAGTCATGGGAAGTAATGGAGATGTGCTTGGGGATCAATTTTATCTGTTCTTACAGAGTTCCTTATACATACAGCAAGGCTCAACAATTAATTGTTGAACTAAATTAAATCATGAACAGATATGAAGCTACGGTTGATACAAAAAAGAAGCACACTGTAATTATAATGTAGTTGGATCTAAAATATAAGAAGTATCCTTTTCTGAAAACTGTGAGATGGTTTCAAATGGTCCCTTACAATAAGTTTAAAATACATTATTCTTGTTAATTTCACTATCTTTGTTCATTTAATACAGATAAGTAAGCAAGACTCCAGCTCAAAACTTCCTAACCTTTAGTTTCATGTCACTCTTGTAATTTTATTAGCTTCGTTTGACTAATTCAAGATGTTTCTTTTCTCTCTTCTTGCTTTCTCATAGTGGATGCACTTCTAACAAAGAGAGAAATGATAAACATGGAGGCAAACAAAGGAGAAAGATAGGAGGCTTGTAACAGCAAAGTATGATGGAAAAAGACTAAGGCTGATAGTTCTAAGGGAGGGAAAAAGGTTCAAGATGAAGTAAGAGAGAAAGGTCAGATTATGAAAAGCCATGTTATGAATGTCTGATTTTATCCTAAAAGCAACAGGATTCTATCGAAGGGTTTTAAGCAACGAAATGATATGATCATTTGGTCATATTGAAAGGAGTCTCTGGTTACAGTGGAGGGAAGGTACTGGAGGGGAAGCAAAGGTGAAGTTCAGAGATAAGCTGGAAAGTGGTTGTGAGATTCCAGGAGAAAAATGATGGTGACTTGGATTAGGTGAGAGCAGCAGAAAAGGGCAGAAGCGTAAATTCCAGAGATATTTAGGGCATAAACTGTCGGGAGAGAGGCAAGAATGACTCAAATTTCTAGCTGGAGCAATCAGAGGGAGAGCAATGCCAATAACTGAGATGGGGAAGGCAGGAGGTGCTACATCCAGTGAGTGCACAAGCTCTGGGGTCGGACCACCTGAGTTCAGATGCCAGCCCTGACACTTATCTTGTACCACTAATTTCTGAAACTTATTGTTTCTGAATAGCTTACCTTGTTGTCCACCTAGGAGTCTTTCTACTCCTTTGATTAGTTTATGGCGGTGTCCGTATGCATTGATGCCTATTTCTTTCAACTCTTCATGACCCATATCAGCCAATACATCTAGCGTAATCTGAAAAGTGAAACAAAATTCATTGCTAAATCTTTAACAGTTCCTCAGATAATGAAAATGCTTCTATTTGTCTTCAATGCTATATATCCACTCAAATTAAAATCATTCTTTCATTTCCATGATAAGCAGAAACTTACCATCTTAAAGTTGTCTTGATAATTTTATTAGCTTTTTGCTCACTTTAAATACTCCTCAATTTGCTTTTAGTCAATGGAGAATTAAAATGGGAGAAACAATGCTATAGAAATGTAAAATGATCATTGCTAAATTTCCTTTTGATTATTTAATTCTACCACCTTTTGCTTGCCTCAAGATATAAAAGGGAACAACCAGTAGTTTGCGAGTGGGGAAATACCATATCCTAGTATTCAGCAGGTAGCAAAGTTGAATGGTAGGGGAAAGAGAGAGGTGTTTAACACAATGAAACAGAATGTAGCAAAAGGAGTAAGCAATTTTAGGTAAGGAGGATTTTTATAATAATGAGGAGGAACTTCCCAGAGCAAAGATATAGTCAAGCATGGAAAAACTGCCTTAGAAAGTAATGAGATTTCTATTATAAGTATTTAGTTAGATTACAGACCATTTTATATAGAAGCCATACAAAGAATTCCAATTTGGAGAAGAGAGTAGATGGATTTTAATTTCTCTTATAAATTCTCAGATTTAACAGTTCTTCAAGCCTATCATATATTCTATTTTTGTACAAAACAGTGCGTTTTAGTTTTTGATTATTCATCCCCTGTAGACAGAGATGATTAGTTAGCTATCACCATGACTCAAAATTACCTCTTTTGTTGACTAAAAGTAACTGTGACTCCACTGCCACCCAGTGGCAGTATTCTGAATGCACAGAATGAAATCGTGGGTGACCCACCACATTTCTTGAGGGCTGAACGTATAATTTTCTAGCTCAGAAGCTGACCCTGTGACAATCCAAATACTACTTCATAAGATTAGCCTTTGATTTTCTTTTTCCTTGGGAAACTGAGGAATCCTTTTACAGATACCCCTTTTCCAATTCAAATGAGATATTTTTATCTATCCATAGCTTCTCTACCTTTACACTTGCACATTTTTAAAAACTGACAAATTAGGCCTGGAGCGCTGCTGATTTTTATTGTCAGAATGAAATATTATATATTGAGTCTGATCATCTCAGCACATCCATCACTCAGTCTTTGGAAATAATTTACTATATTGCTCCTAAATGGCCATTTAAGAAATAATTGCTCCATTGCACAAAATGGGCAATTCATTTCCAATCATCCAAAGGAAGTTTTCAGCAGAGCTTTTAAAAAGCAACAGTTCTGAAATATATATCTTTGAGAGAGAATAGTTCACAACATAATAGGAGCCTTTACATTTTTAGTTAGATGTGACTTTAATTTGGAAACCATGCACAGGGTTTACCACATTATCACTATCGCATTATTTTCCTTCTGTATATTCTAAACCTCAGTTCAAATAAGGGTTGACATAAAAATAGAATCTCTTATCTTGTAGTACCTTTAATTCAAAGAATCCTTAAGCTTTCCTGAACTGATACATACAGTGCATATCTGGAAGCAGCAGAAACCAGGCCAGCAAAGCATGGTATTCTCTACACGGTTCTAAAGAAGAAACGGTGAACGTAATATATTTGTTCATTATATAGCTCCAAGCATAAAATGAATACCTCATTTAATCCTCACTATAACCCATGAAGTACTATTAATGTCCCTTTGCGGAAACTTAGGCTCAGAGAAGTCATAAAAATCACACACAGATGACTGAAATGTATTGACGTTTCTATCTTTCCCTTGCTTGTATTTCTTAAAAGGGATGACTAGAAAGCTAACATAACTAAGCATTAAATTAGTTTCTTTGGCTTACATGGTACCCACCTAGTTCCGTATCTATCAGGCAGTGGCCACTGGAAAACCTTAAATGGTAAGCTAAGGATTTCAGATTTATGACTGTTCATTCATTCATACATGTTTAATGACTACTTTCTAAATGCTAGATAGTTCCAAAAAAATAACTAATTAAACATTTTTCATTCTAAAACAACCCAGTATAGCTCAGAAGGTTAAATAACTGGTACAAAATAACAGTAAGGGTGTGGGGCCAGGAAACGAACAGAGTACTACCACCAAAGTTCATGTATTTCCTATAGCAAGGAAATAAAAAAAAAGTAAACACAAAAACGTGGTAAAGGCTGGTAAATGTTTCGGAAGAATCCCTGTGGGAACTCTTGGGAAGGTTACATACTTGGTAGAGGCTATAAGTAGGGCTGGGAAGGAACAGGAAAGGGGTCAGGAAAGGTTCTTAGAAGAAGGTAATAATTTAGCTAAGAAGTAGGAGCTAATCAGGCAGAGGACGGAGGGAAGGGTGCTTAAGACAAAAGGAATAGCATATGCAAAAGAAAAATCAAGTAAGAGAATACAGAACATTTTAGAGACTGTGAGTATTGATGTTTAAAAAGGTTACAGGATGATGTTTATAAAGAAATAAATAAAGGAAGGGATAGACAGAGCAGTAGGCTAAGAGCAGATCTTAATGGGCTTTATATATTAAGATACTATCTAAAAGGTCCGAGGAAGACTTTTCAGTAGAGTAACACAATCGAAGTTGTACTTTAGGAGACACAACATAATGCAAACAGTGGCATTATAAAAGGCAGTTTTGGAAGGGAAAGCGACTGTGAACAAGATAAAGATGGAGTGGAGTGGAAGGAATGAATCAGAGAAAGCAACTCAAAGGGAGAGATGACAGGGCCTTGTAAACAGAAATGGTCAAGGGGGAATAAAGGAATGGGTGTAAAAATTATTCTAAAACTCTGAAGCTGGGTGATTATGAAATTATTGTATCAATAAAAGAAATGAAATACTGGAAGTGGAGCAGGTTAGTTATATTTTAGACATATTGCTCCAAGATTCCAGGCTTTTATACTGTTAGAAATATTTTTCTAAAAAGTATCTTTAATTCATTTAAAAAAATCTTAACTTAGTTATATCCAGGAAATGACAAATTTGTTGGGCAAGTTATTTATACTCAGCACACATTAAAATCAAATTATAATCTTTTAAGTAAAAATTATTCATGTTATCAGCTAAATCTTGCACATAAAGCAAATGACATTTCAAGAATTTTAATTCAAGAAGGGCTAACTCTTGTTTCTCAGATTTGTTCATTTTACCTATGGGTGGAGAGAGAAAAATGAGTTTTAATGAAAAAGGCCTTTTATTTGGGCTTAAAAGGTTGATAGCCAGAGTAATAGTTATTAGAACTAACTTTATAGCTATGTTCACAATGAATTTACTTGAGTCCATGATTTTGTCTTTAAAAATCTGAAATAAAAATTTATATGGTCACTTTTCATGAAAATATGTAGGTTTACCATAAATATGTCCACAAGGAGTCTTTCATGTCATAGTATTTATGTTCCAGGAATTGCAATGTAAATCAAATTGGTCTTTCCCACAGAAACTGTTCTAGTTAGGAAGCTACATTAAAAATGAAGGGCCAAAGTGACACTAGTACTATATTCAATTAAGTGTAAAGGACACAGGTATTTATTATTTAATAAGGAACTTGGCAAAGTATATATGTCAAACAAGTCAAGTTAGTTAGAGACTTCTGAGAGAATAACTGAAGAGGTGAGACTATGATACTCTGAAGAGTTTTCCTGGGACCAGAAATAAATAACTGCATTCCTCATTCCACTGAGAGAGAAGTAACCATGAATAGGAACAGAAGCAATAAAATATTATGTGTCAAAGCATCTCAGGAAGCAGTATAACTTTCTGGCTTCAGCTAAACAGATATATATTAAATGAGTACAATGCACGCATCCTCACGCCTTCTCTCAGTACACAATATGTTGACCATCATCACATATTACTAGTCTGATATAGAATATTAACAGGATAAAATTCCATGGTAAGTTAGGAAATGGGTTACAAAATTTATTACTCTATAACTGAAAGCTAGTCAAGTAATACTTGCAGTCAAAATAAAAATTAATTTGATTGCTTGGCGATTGGGCCAGAAGACTGTTAAACACAGTTCAACAGAAAGAAAGATAATGTCACTTGTCTGGAGGCAAGGAACTGTACTAGGTAATATATATTAAGTGGAATAGTCAACATATTGATTTAAAAAAAAAGAGATAGAAATTATTCTGGCAAAGAAAAAAGTGAATGGAACCATTTACTCAGAACAAAATTGCAATGACAAAGATAACAATGAAAGCAATGAAATCAGTATAAGCTGTCAAAAGAACCAACTGTCAAAAGACCAAACTATTAAAATCAATAAAATGAGATAACCATGCTACCAGAAATCCATTATTGAAATACTAAATATATAAGGTAAAAAGAAAAAAATAAAACAAAATTATGATGTAAACTGACTGAAAGAGTAGGAATTGAAGTCCTTTGAAAAACTTTCAGTAGTCAACTGGAATTGTTTATTTGAATTAGGGTCTTAGTTTTATCAAGAAAAGATGTGTGAAATTTCAGTTTGTAGACATGATTTGGGAAGAAAGGATAATGGCTGGAGTATGGCTACAGCAAAGGATAATGCTTTTAAAACAGCTGTAATACCGTCAGTGACGAAAAGGGAAAAAGATTCTTAGAATTTAGGATATTCTCATAAATAACTTCCAAACCAGAGGGAAAATCAATGGTAGGTGAAGCTTAAAAGAAAAAGAAATTATTACAACAGTCTATAAAATTCCTCACTTCCAGACGGAAGACCCATCTGATGCTTCATCAAAGCGTATTTTAAAAACTGGTACAGAAGTACAGTATTACTGAGAATTTTAACTATCTGGACATTTGAAGGTATTATTACATTATATAGGTAAGGGAGGTGACAGGTTTAATGCTTTATCCAATGTTACACAGCTCATAAAAGGGAGAAAATCATCAGAATTAAGGTCTTCTTAATTAAGGTTCACTGCTATTTCCACTTAACTGTTTTTTTTTTCATTATTTAACTGTTAATAATCTTTTTTAATTAAAATTTAATTTGATTATTAGTTTCAAGTATACAGTACATTGGTTAGACATTACTACAGTTTATAAATGATGCCCCTAATTGCTCTTTCCTCTGGCTCTCCACCTAGCCATTACATTCCTTATGCTGTGCTCTCCATCCCCGTGACCATTTACCAACTACTAATTTGTACTTCTTTAACCCTTCACCCCTTTCTCCCAAATCCACAACTCCCCTCCCCTCTGTCACCAGATTGTTCCCTATATTTGTGATCTACTTAACTCTTTTGATCACTAAGAGCATTAAAGACAAACTATAATAAACAACAAAGAAATTTAGCTAAAAAAAAAACAGACACAATATTAGAAAATCTTCACAGTATACGAGAAAGATCTGAGGTTTGTAATGAACTTCTGACTATAAGTCTACGAAAAAATCAGCGTAAGGCAAAGAGGCTAGGGAAGAATTTAGAAACTATGTCCATAAAAAGAATAATTGAAAAAGAAGATACATTTATCTTAAAATAGAAAAACTTTGTAGGGGTGAGTGGTTGAAAGGGTAAGTCCATGACATATTGACTAGATCTTAAATATATGAAGAGCTACAGCATGTTGTAGTGAGCTGAATGGCGGCCCTCAAAAAGATATGTCCATGTTCTAATCCCCCAAACCTGTAAAGAACCTTATTTACAAAACTTTTTTATATCTTTGCAGATATAATTAAGGATCTTGAGATAAGGAGATCATCTAGGATTAGATGGGGAGGCATTACATTCAATACAAGTGTCCTCAATAAGAGGCACACAAAAGAGAAGGCCGATGCAGAGAAGGCACTGTGAAGATGGAAGCAGAGACTGAAGTTATGTGGTCACAAGCCAAAGGGGCCCTCAACCACTAAAAACTAGAAGCAGCATGGAACAGATTCTTCTCTAGAACCTCTGTATGGAGTATAGCCCTGCTGACACCTTGATTTTGAACTTCAGGCCTCCAGTACTGTAAGGGAATAAATTTCTATTGTTTAAGCCGCCAAGTTTGTGGTAATTTGTTAGCCCCGTGACTAACACATATGTAGACCAGAGATTAGATTTCTGTGCAAAACAAGGTAAATGTAAACATAAGATCAATGGATTACACGTGGGGGGCAGATTATGGCACATTTTAAATTACATGCATTTTATTACACATGCCCAAATTTAACAAGTTATCTTCCTATATGGATGTTAAAAAGGTAATTCTTATATCTGGGAGAATGACTTAATAATCTCTAAAGATCTTTCCTATTCTAAGATTCTATGTATGTCAATAACAGTCAATTTAAACTCAGAAACCTACTCACTTTTTAATCTTTATTTTTAATTGAGACATAATTGACATATAACATTAGTTTCACATGGACAACACAGCGATTCAACATTTGTATACACTGCAAAATTATTATTCAATATTTAACACTGACCATGGTAATAAGATCATAGGATATTAAGTTAAAAACTTATTATTCCTGTTTAAGAACAGAATGACAAACAAGGATCTTAATTCATAAACACCCTAATGATGACTTCATATTAAGACCTTCACAGATACTTAAGATGTATTAAAAAACAGGATAGGTCTATTTGACTACATGGTTAAGTTTTGGTTCAACATTATTTTAGACTCTAACCGGACAACAGAAACTTCATTAAGGGATGATTTTAAAAAGGTACATTGTCCACATATTACTTTGCTTTCCAATTTAATGACAACTGCTTCATGAAAATTTTGCTAAATAGTTATTATAAAAATTCCTCATTGGTTTTAAGTGGAGTCTAGTCATATCAATCAATAATGCAATGAGATAAGTGCTAACACTTTTTGGAAACAAAATAATGATTTCAAAAACGTTCTTTTGAGGTGGTTTTGACATGTAATAAAACATAGAGCCAGACTGCTTATAAAAATATAACAAAATAACAATTTAAAGACTCCCATCATCTGTTAGACAATTTTGGGGAAAGGTATAAAATACTGGATTCCCTTGTCTTCTTTAGAAATTTGTTGTGGGTTTTAAAACAGCAGTTAAGAAGCAAAAAAGAAATGAGTGAAAAATAACTCTTAATATTTAATTAAAAAGACTAAACTATATAAAAGAGAGCTTACCTGTTCTGTTTCAAAGATGTCCCGAAGGTGTTCAAGACCAAGGCTTTTTAGGAATTGGCTGATATTCATGTCAAGACCCCCAACTAAAACAGATAAATTAATTAAAGTTTCTTAGAAAAAAGTTTACCAATCTAAAGGAAGTTCCAGTATATTTTTTTAAGCCATGCATCTCTGATACTCTTGGCTATGCAGATAATATTAACAGTGTAAAATACTCCTAAATTTCATTCAAACACTTCCAGTTATCTCTGAATTTGGTCGAAAAGTAAAAGCAGAGTTTATTTTTATTAAATCGGTAGTATTTATATTAATTTTAATATTATAAAGCGCAATCTAATGCTTTTAATGAAATATTTAACAGTGGGTATAAAATTCCAAATTTATCAGCTATCATTTTAGTTTTCATTCCTTAAATAATATCTTAGTGTTTTCCTGATCAACTTCAGGAATAAGACTCACTCAGTAGTTCAATAAGATACTGCAGTAGGAAATGGATGTACTGGGATATACCTAAGAACAATGTAGGTACCAAGAAACTTTTTCTATGAAGACATATTTCTTATAAGGTATTGTGTATATGAAAACTTACAGATAAGATGTCTGTAAGAGAGGTGTTCAATAATTACCAGTAGAAAAAAAGTCAATCTGTTAATTATAAAAACAAAAGACTTAAGAACCAGGGTATACTCACCTTCTCCTTCCTTCCTCTCTGTGCCCGCTGCACCATCCCCGGTGTTGGACGCTCCTCCCACTGCCAATTCCGCTAAAGGGCCAGTGAGGTTATCTATGCTGCTGGCAGCGGACAGGCAGGAGGGGGTGGATGCTGGTGAGATCAGAGAGGCACTCACTACAGTAGCCTGAGGCTTAAAACAGGTCGGTAGGGCCTCTGGGGGCATGGCATCTATCAGCAAAGCTCTGATATCGTCAGCCTATAAATAATCATAATACAAAAAAACACAAAAAATACTGCATTTTAAAGTGGTAAGTTTTTTACTAAGGACCAAGTGCTTTGTGAATTTATTCTTTAATAAATGCCTCATATCCCCTATTTAAATCATTTCTTCCTCTTTCATCTTCTGACCCACGGCTCCAAAGAGTCTCAGTAGTTTCAGTAAGTAAAACTGGAGAAACTATATACTTTAAAAAAATTCATTTTTAAAATATCTGATGTACAGCCTGGTGACTATAGTTAAGAATACTGTATTACGTACTTGAATTTGCTGAGATCATATTCTCGCCATACACACATAAAAAGAATTAACTATGAAAAAACACTCTAAGAATGTGGACTATGTTGATTCTTGACAACACTTTCTCAACACTAAGTGAAAAAGTATGCACACAATTGTTCATACTGATTACATGTGCATTTAAAAGATGTGTAAGTTAATAAAGATTTGAACGGAGTAAAAAAAAATATTTTATCTTTCATTAAAAAAAGCACATTTGTTGTTTTTTGACCTTTTCTTTAGAAGTTTCCATATTTGTTTACCATATTTTATTTATGCTTAAATGACTAAAATAATTTTTGTTCAGTTATTTAGTGTACATTTAATTTAATGTACAATTAAAATCTGGTGAAATTTTAAAGGGACAGCACTTTAATTTGGCTAGTTTATTCATGAACTTTTTACTTCGTTAGGCATAACTGCTGTTAAAGGATGTGGGAGCGAGCCTCCAAAGGTAAGCTAACCATTAATTCCTTCCTCTGTGTACGTGCATGCCACTCCTGCCATCAAGAGGTGGTGTCTATTTCCTTTCCTTGGAATCTGGGTTGCCCGTGAGTTGCTGTGATCAATAGAATGCAGAGGAAGTAATGTTCTGAGGCTTTTAAGCAAGGCTTTAAAGGACTTGCAGCTTCTACTTTTTCCTTCTAAGATACCACCCTCCATGCTGTAAAGACATTTGGGCAATTGAGTGTCAACATACTATGTAGAGAGATCCTGTAGGAGAAAAGGCTGTCTTAGTGTGCAGCCTCAGCTGAGGTCTCAGCTAAAGTTAAGTGCACAAACAGCAGAACTACCTAGTTGAATCCAGTCAGCCCACAAAACTGTGAGAAATAAGAAATATTTAATAATGTTTAAATAGTAAATAAATAAACATTAAAAATAAATAAATCATTGTAGTAAGCCACTCGATTTTTGGTTAACCTATTAGTTGTTTTGATATCGTTTGTTACTTAGCAACAAATATATCAAACAGAATGTAGCTTGGAAATGTATTTCTGCCTCAAAAAATTATAAATTATTGTGACCATACAGTAATTCCTTGCTTTTCAGAAAGTTCTGGGTAGATGACACTGTGTTTAATTTTGTAGTTAAATAATTTTTAACCACAAAAACTTAATTTTTGGTTTTGAAAGTATTTCTACAGTACATCAATTTTCTTTACCATCTTCAGAAGAGTAAAATACTGCCCAGAAGTTAAGTTTTCTTTGACTACCTCAAAGCCTCAGGTAAATTATCATAAACATCAGTTGCCAAATATAGAAAGTGTAAAATTAAATGTAATTCTTTGAGGATTAGACATGTGATTTTCCTAAGATTCATCTTCTCCCTCCAAGTATGGCAAAATGAATTAACTTACTACTCAGTTTGCATAACAGAGCTTTAAATTATATTTAAAAAGTGAATTTAAAAAATTACAGAAGGAAATCTGTTCTTATTCTAAGTAAAATATGCATATTAAAGCTAAATCTGCTAAGCCCTGGAATTGAATGACATCTCTGAAAGTATAATAAGCAATTCTGAATATTTTGAAATGAGGACTTACTGTTGCCAGATCTAAAGGTGTCTGGCCTTCTTGGTTCTTCATAGTTGGATCTGCACCATGTGCTAGGAGGAGGGCACATAACTGGGTCCTTCCTTTTTGGGCTGCTTCATGAAGAGGAGTAAACGCCCATTTATCTGTTGCATTTACACACGTGTTGTATTTTATTAATAATGCTGCTATGTCCACATGCTGAGGAAAAATAAAAGGAAGTGAAGAGTTAAGAACAGGATTATCTGGTAAAGCTCTACCACATATACTTGCTTTTACTTAATATCCCTGTATTTTGGATCCCATCTTTCCTTGTCTCCCCTAAAATATTAGTTCCACAATTATTCTTTAACCTTGTAGTCTATAATTCTTCATAGGAGCATTAAAAAAATTTTATTCAGTCTTCTAACATTCAGTCCTATTTTAAAAACAAACACATAAAATGTTAACTACTACCTGACTTCAAGTCTCCTGTTAATGGTCTGCCTGTCAAACATTTCAAACAAGCATTCTATACCCACTGCTTTTCTTATCTTTCCATTTCTCTTCTAAACCATTTCCATCTGATGTTTATTAAAACAGTCACCTCAAAACTTCTCAATATTCTTTCTTCAGCCTTTGGGAAAGTAATGTAACACAACAAAACATTTTACAAAAATTAGTCTGTCATGTCCCCAATGATTTAGTGGGTGAAGAAAATGTTAGCAGCAAATACATTAACTAATATCCTAGGCATGCAATGATGAGATCTTGAACTGTGATAATCAGAGAAGAACGAAAAAGAAAGCTAAATCTGAGAAATTTTAAAAGGGAAAAAATGGATTTTAGAAAGACAAATTAAATGACCCATAGAGGAAGAAAGAGAAGAAAAGTCAGGATGACTACCTTTTCAAAGAAATTTGCTCCAAAAGATTAGGGAATAAAACTAATAAAGACAAGGTTCACTCGGGGTACATAGTTTTTGAGATAAAGGATCAAATGATGTAAATGGTTTGACATAAAAGGCTGGAGCACAGATAAGAGGGCATCATTTGTTTATTCACTTACTCTCTCTTATCTACTCACCCACCAAACAAATATTTCCTGAATACCTACTGAGTGCTTGGCACTGGGTATAGGGACTCAAGGGGGATGACAAAATGGAATATTGAGTTGACAGTTGTAGCTACTCGATAAATGAGCTCAACAAGAAAAGGAATACAGAAAGATGATCACAAGGGGGATAAAACCTTGAGAATGATATTTTGAGAAAGGAGAGTGGCAGACAAAAGGGGCAATAAGAACGTAGAAGAACTAAAAAGAGGCAGGGCCATGAAAAACAATGTAGGAGAAAGTTTCAAGGAGAGTAGGTTCTCTCAATAAGTTCTGTATAGCAAAAGCTTTTAGCTTCTTCCCAAAAGTCCTTATAAAATAAGCTTAAGATAATTGATTAAGCAAAAACAAGACTCACAAATATAGAGGACAATCTGGTGATGGCCAGAAAGGAGGGGAGTTGGGGGCTGGGAGAATGGGGTAAAGGGTTAAAGAAATACAAATTAGCAGTTGATAGATGGTCATGGGGATGGGGAGCATGGCATAGGGAATACAGTTAGCATTACCTAATGGCTAGGTGAAGAGCCAGAGGAGAGAAAGAGTAATTAGGAAGATCATTTTATCAACTGTAGTAATGTCTAACCAATGTACTGTATACTTGAAACTAATAATAAAATAAAATTTAAAAAAATGCATAAAGAAAAAAAGACAATTGATTATAGAAAGGTAATAATGATTCCATGATTAGGCTTTTGAAAAGAATAAAAATAACTTATTCTTATAAATACATTTAGGGATGCTAGTTTGGTTACCATTAAAGTATTTCTGAAATCCATTTCAACTTCAATATTCTCTAATTTTGTGCAATTGGCACATTTGGGTTCTTCATGGATATTTCCTGGCATATTTGATTACTTTTAATAATTAACTAAGGAGCACATTATCTGTTGAGAATAAATTTCTAACTCATGATGTTGCTCAGCTGTGATATACTGAATTATTTGAAGCTGACTTTCATGAGAATGGGACGAGAGATGGGGAAGAGAAAGACAGAAATATCCCAAGATGGGAATTAGGGCATGTTTCTTTGTATTTTCCTTAAGACAGTCTTTGTTCTCTTGAAGACATTTCAAAAAATAAAAATAAAAAAGAAAGGCACTTTTTCTGAGTAGTATTAAAAATTTTTAAATATAATATACTATCAAAGTCACTTAAAACCCAGTAATTTATCTCCTTTATTCAAAGATATATGTTGAAAAGAATAGCTATTTTTGTTCAGTTAACCCAAAAGCATGGAATAATTTCAAGCTACTCTACAATAAGGTTATAGACTATTTAAATTGTGTTTCTGATGATTAACTTTATTCTACTCCCATGTAAATCGGCAGAATAATATAATTTAGTAGACTAATTTCAATAGGCTTCCAAAATTAGATAGTCCAAGGAAAATTATGTGTGTGTGTAAAATGAATTCTATCTATGGTATGTATCCTTAAACTTTCTTTATATTGAATTTATAGTTTATGCTTAGAGAAACGAGTTACATGCTTTTTTAATTTGCTGACAAACATCTGAAAGAGCAATAAAGGAGTCTATTACTACCCAAGTATGCTAAAAACACAATTTGTAAGTCTTTTAAATAGCTACACCACTAGGGCAAAAATAGTAACTGAAATTTAAGGCTGACAAATGCAATAAATAAGCTACAGCTCAGTTCTATACAATATATGAACAAAGTATTGAACTAGAAGGTCTAGAAAAGGACTAAGCTCTTGGAATATTTCCAGGAGAAAGTCAATTTCATATGGTTTCAGAACCCAGCTTCAACACAAAATGCTTTAAATGACAAATACGATGTAAAAACATTGTGTGGGCCTGAATTTAAGAAAGGTAAGAAGGAAGTAGAAAAAAGAGAAACATTCTTGGTCTTTGTAAGGGGGCATGAGAAGATGAAGATATTCTCATTATAAAGGGCAAGGAAGAAGAGAGTTAAGAGAATATGGAAATTACAGTGACTAGTTTTTATAGTTTGTCAGACTTTGGCAAATCTAGAAACTGTCCTCTCCAACTGTGAGAACCCCTAGTATGTAAAATCTGGCATCTGTGGATTTTTATAGTCAAGCAGGTACTAAGTAGATGAACATGAGCATGCATCTTATTCCTGTGTGATTCATCAGGTGTGAAGTGGGCCTTGGTGACTTCCAGGCAGTCATTTTCAACAAATGGCATCGAGGCAGTGCAATACATTCCTCTTCCTCTTAGTCTACTTTCAGCTGATGATTACAGTTTAAGTGCTTTGAGAGAATGACTCTGGACTTTCATTGTGGGGTTTTAGCTAGTCATTCAAACTCTATGAAACCACATCTACTAACAGTTCAACCATTTATTTGAATATTTTTTAAATGTTGGCGATAAATATAAGCAACCACAATTTCCATGCCTAAAAAAGAACCTCCTGGCTTTTACAGTTTCTAAAATCTACTCGATGCAAAGTTAAGGTTTATTATCTGTATCAATAAATATTAACTCAGCAGCCATTACGCACCTATTATTGTGCTAGATAATGTTGAAAAGACCAAAAAGTTACAAAAAGCATGGTCCCTGGCCAAAAGATAGTTCAGCTTAACTGGGAAGGCTAGAAACACTCTGAGGAGATTATAATTGTGCTAGATTATGCTATTGGTTAGATACTACTCACTTCATGTATAGTATACATTTAATAAAGCAGTAAATGGCAGCAAAGTTTCTAGACTTGAACTTTAGCATGCTTACCCCATAGGATGCTGCATTATGAAGAGGAATTAAACCACCTTTGTCTTGGGCATTAACATCTGCTCCATGCTCTAAAAGATATTCAGCTACTTCCAGGTTATTGTAGCCTGCTATTAAGAGAAAAAAAAGGCAAACATGTCAGCTTAAAAAAAAAAAAGTATATAAATAATAAGGATCAGAAAAACGTTAAAGTCTGAATACTTTTTGCTTTATAAGCTAATACTGTTATCACATAATTAAGAGTCTTTAAAATAAAGACATTATATAAAATTATATTAACTGAAAGCATTTCACTAAATAGTACTCTTTATGCTCAGCATTTCTTTCATCTCCTGTTAATCTTATTAGGTATCAAAGAAAGGACAATGAGACTTGAAAGTGCTGGTGATGCTTACCTGCCAGGTGCAGAGGGGTTGAGTTTCTGCCCTGGGTGTCTCTGCAGTTGATATTCTCCGGGGTACAGAGTTTCTGCACCCTTGCCAGGCAACCCTTCTTGGCAGCATCCAACAAGGCAGCATCTCCTCTCAGTAAGTCCTGAATATCTGTGTCTCCTTCTTTTACCAAATCTAAAGGTGTATTTCCATCTCTGTTCTTTTTAGTTGGATCTGCTCCATGCTGCAAAAAAAAGGCAAATGGGGTTTGTATTTTCTGTAGGATCTTTCTTAAGGTTTGCTTGTTTCTGTTTACTTTTAACTTCATTTTCCCTTATCCAAGGAAAGATGTCTATTCTACATGTACTTTGAACAGAGGCAATATCCTGTTTTATTTTGCAAATTCCCTACATAGCAATATACTGGATCAGCTTTCTAACTACTTCTCAATCAAAGTCCCAAGCCTCAGGATCAATGGTGATGGTGAATTGGGTAAAGTACTGAGTACCTTTTACTTCTCATCTGATAGACTTTCACAGGCTCCAAGATGTATTTGGAAATGTCTTTTCCTTTTAAGAATGACCTCTTCCATTAAGAATGTTAATTTTGACAAGATTTCAATTACATAAAAATATTCAGTAGATATCATGAAAAATAAGTGAGAAGAGGAAGACACACAGGTAGAAAAAAATACTGAATTTTAAATGCAATCAATACAAAGAAAGTTTGGTAATTTTAATATCTTTTTTCATTGTAAGTCTTAACACCTATCATGAACTTAGGTATAAATGTATTAATAACATTAGCCTACTGGAGAAATTTGGAAGAATCAAGTTAGACAATGAATTCATAGTAACCTGAAAGCTATTTCTTAGTAATTAGTGATAATAAAATGAGTATCACATACAGTCTTATTCTCAAGGCTCATAAGAACATATTTGATAATGGAAAAGTGGTGGGAGAAGAATTTGATTTATACTTAACCAGCATAAATTTTAATCTAGTTAAAAAAAGAGAGAGAGAAAATTACATATACTTTGGTCATTTTTCATATCCTTTAAAAAGAACACAAAATTATTGAGTTAGTTTCATATAATTACTAGCTTCTATTATTTCATGTATATCCCCAAAATTCATGAACAACTCTGTTTAGAGATTATCTTATATTTTAATAAAAATCTGATATTAAAATAATTTTTTTGATATGTTTAATTTAATGAGAAATGAGTTTGTTAACAATAAAAGAGCCAGTAAGAAAAAAAACAAATGATCAAAAAACTTCTTACTTCCTTGTACAAATGTTTTCTGATATTAATACCATTAGTATTAGATAAGCAATGCAAACTGATTCAACTCTTTCCTTGATAAATGGTGATGAACTGAACTTAATCAAATCAGTTCAGTAAGGCACTCCAGACACTACTCAATGCTATGTAAGTATCATGCTATCACACTTAAACATCCCCTTAAAATGGAAAATGGAAGCTGTCTCCATAGCACTTATGATACTTAACAGAATAATTTACTTTGATGTAATTTTACATATACATACGAACCATAAATTACTTTATATTTCACAACTTTTAAAATTACATACTTTTAAAAGGAGCTTGCAGATTTCATATTTTCCTTTAGCTGCTGCTTCATGTAGAGGGGTAAATTTCCATAAGTCCGCCACATTGACAGAAGCTCCATGCCTCACTAAAAGCTCAGCTACCTCATAGTGTCCATATGAACAAGCATTATGAAGGGGTACCAAGCCACTAAACAAAAAAAATTATTTTAAAGACATATAACATATCTTTGAGTTAAAATGCTTACAGTAAAAATAATATAATTCTCCTATGACACTGACTATACTAAACACTCGCTTAATAAAATTCTCTGGTTTTAAAGATATAGTCATCCATTTCCAAATAAGAATTAATAATTTCAAAAAATGTCTCTTTCAATATAAGGATTTCCCTAGTTTCTTGGTGATAGATATAAATTTCACAGCAATCCTTATTCTTAAAATACATATATATCTCCAAAGAAAAAGGTCTCATTACAATACTTTTAATTCAGGTTTCATTCAGGTAATTTAAAGCAATAGTACAAAGTGGTTTCTGGTTTATCATCGCTCAGATTTTCTTCCATTTGGGTTTTCCTCATGAAAACGGTATGCTTATTTATAAAATATACAATGCAATTTAGCTTATTTATTTAGGCAAATTCTACCTTTTGTTTTTGGTTTTTATTACTTTTGGTTTCCGTACATAGGTTTAAATAGTTAGGTGCCAAGCAATGAAAACTCAAAATATAAGTGATACAGAACTTCAGTAAGGAAAATAATGGTGTCAAACCATAAACCCTGTAGTTGACAGATGAGAAAATCTGGCTGCCTCATTATGAACAAACTATTCTGAGATGACTCCGAGTTCTGATTAGAAGGAAGCTGACATTCTAAAAGGGCAAAAAATGTTCCCATAAAAAAAGGGTCCATTAAAAGAGTAAGTTTAAGTTGCACTTAAGACATGGCAAAAACCAGGTGCCAAGTGCCCTTTTATTTAGAGAGATCAGTGCCTTTTAAATTTTTAAAAAATGTTTTGAAGTCAGAATACTATATGCTAAAACAGGCAATAGAAACAAATGTTGGTTGCTCTCTAATGCACTAGAACAAACACTCTGAAAGAGCTAGTGATAATATTGAATACTCATGTCTGATGTGATAAAAGAGACATCCATAATGGTTAACTAAAATCTAAGTTGTGTGGTTTAATTCTACAGCACTCTTGTATGTTACTGTACAGAAAGGTACTTGCTTATTTGTATTTTGAGATGATATGAAATTAACTCAGAATACGGAGGCTCATTTCAGTTAAAACTTCCTTCTTGCATTTCTAAATAGCTTCCATGGATGCTTTAAAAACTCTGTCTAGATAAACAGAAATAATTTAGTAAACTAATATAAAAATATAGAATATCTGAAATAGTAAAAAGTAAAATTATGTTTTTATTAATACTGATGACTTTGGGATGAATGGCTTCTTTTTGGAAGAGATTATATATTTTCAATAACAAAACAAGGAATAAACAAATTATAGGCTATAGAAACACATTCATACAATGCAATGAAATATTTTGTACAGGCATTAAAAGGATGAGACGAACTATTAAGTACTGATATGAAAAGATGTTCCAGATACACTACTGAGTGAAAAAAGAAAACTGCAAAGCAGACTAGAATGGCATCATCATTTACATTAGAACCACCGCCGCTGCCACCATAGCATGCACACCCGGATGTGCATATAAAATTTCGGGAGGATTAGAACGAAATTTTAATGTTGTAATCTCTAGGTGGTAAGGTGATAGGGAATTTTCACTTTGTATACTGTACATTTTCATAATGTTTAAATTTATGCTTTAAACTTTAAAAAAATGCATTATTTTTTAATAGCAGAAAAAAAAATCAAAGCCTTAAAAAATATTAAAATAATTCTTTTAAGTCTCTAGAGAATGAATCCTGAACAGCTAAATGCTAACACATACCCTTTGTCTTTGGCGTGGACATCGGCACCGTGGTGCAGAAGGTACTCCACAACAGACACACGATTATAGCCTGCCGCGAAGTGTAGGGGTGTAGAATGCCGGCCCTCCAAATCTCTGCAATTCACATTTTGAGGGCTGCAAAGTTGCTTTTTATGGCACATACACACAGACGAATACAAAAAGAACAATAATATTTACTTATTAGATTTTGCTCCAAAATATTGTAGGTATCTTAAATTATTATTTTCTAATGAATATTATTTTCAAAAGATTAGATAATACAAGTGATGTTTAAAAATCAGCACTGTGCTTGTCTTTACAGTCTCTATTAATATTCTTACTGCTTAGAGAACAATCAAATCTTTTTTAACATTTCCTGGTCAAAATCTTAATCAAAAAGAAAAACCCATAATAAAGCAAGCATTTGCAAGGCAACTGATGCCTTCCTTTTTTTTTTTTTTTAATCTTCATAAGGCTTTCCTTCCTGAGACTGCTTGTCATAGCATGTCTGCTTGTACTTAGCCATCCTTTGCTCAAAGAAGGCAAATCCAGGTTGACTGCAGAACTACCCAGAGTTCTTGTCTTCTCTGACGTGGCAAGCAAAAAGGCTCTGGAAAAATTATATTAATTCTGCCTGGGCTACCCACTTGGCCCTTTGATCCACTACAACAAAACCATTCACTCCACAGTGCTTTATTTGATTGTTAGGGGATGTTTGTCTAACTCTACAAGTCAAACTATTTCTAATCATATTCTAGTTTTTGGCCTTTACTTCCTTCTCCTTCCAAACCTCTCCTGTCTTCTTTTCTCCTTTTAACTCTCGGGCTGCATTGTTAGTGGTGATAGATGAATTATAATATTTGAACAGTAATTTACAATTTATAAAAAGCACTCATTCTTTCAGTGAGAGAATTACTACCTATCTGTGATGCTGATCATTATCTCTATTTTACAGATAAATAAACCAAGACCCAGTGAGGTTAAGTGATATCCTTTTTTATAGAGTTGGTAAGGGGTAGGGTACGGACCCAAACCCTGTTTTCTTGATTATTAATCTCTTGATCTCTTTGCTACGTGGTTGGTTACTTTCTTTACCGAAATTTAGGGAAGAGATAAGAAGAAAGGCAATGAAAAGAAGACAAGTCAAAAAAGCAGAGAAAACAGTGGCATTTTTTAGGCTACAAGTTATGATGGCAAGGGCTTTCTAGGTATTGCCAATATTGCTGCCGCTTCTGCCACTGTAATGAGCTATTGTTACATGAAAACTAAGAACCTGGAAGATAACTGATAGTCTAAGTAAGGGTTTTCACATTAGTGGGTAAAAACAGGACTTTTCAGGTGGTATAATTTTTCCATGACAGAGGAAGTCTGGACAGTATAAGGGAGAGGCTATAATTTCATCAACTCTATGTGGAAAAACACCAGACTCTAAATTCTGAAGAGCCACTGTCATCTGGCCAGGTCAAATATCCTATCTTTTCATGACAAGTGAGTTTGTGGCTATATTAATACTTAAATTAGAGATTCAAAAAATAAAGTTAAATAGAAATGAAGAACTTACTACATAAACTAAAAAGGCTGCAAAAATTGGTAGTGAACACCAATGATGTTTGAAGCTGCTTCATACTGCTGCTTTTTTCTTATGGTTTTGATCTTCTGAATTTATTTATTTTTCTAGAGAATACTGGCCAAATAGGGATGAGGGAGGGAAAGAAGGACTGATTTTGCCAGGTTACAAAAATAAAAGCCCATTCTGCTTATTAAATATTTGCTTTTTAATATTTGGAAGTTCTTTATTCTCTGTTGTTTTACATTCTTTTTGAATGATAAAGCAATTTTATATACTTCCTACCTGCTTTTCATAATTGCAAATATATTACTCAGCAAACAGCCTTTTCTTCTAATACCTAATATCTAATACTTTCTAAAGCCTCTAGTAAAAGAAATCAATCACGATTAATTTTCACTTAATTTGTGCTTTGGTTTCTTCTGCCACTTCAATTCCATTCATAAAAATAAAATTGGCCTTTATTGTAAATAGACTGTTTAGGAAACTTGAAAGCTACAGTATATTTGCCAATTATATATAACACAAATTGAATTATATTACTTTGTTACATTAAAAATAAACTATTAATATGATGGGCACATAGTAGCAATGCTAGTGCTGAGATTATCACGCTATCTTCATCCCTATATGAATGACTGTAGATAGGAAGTGTGTTTTTAAAAAGCATATTTGATATTAGAATAAATTTTTATCTGATAAACATTAAATCTATAACCATCATTTCCATACCAAATAAAACTGATAAAATTTTCTTGGCAAGCAGAGTTATAGAGAAAACAAAATCTATCTTCTGCATATAAATAATTCCAAATGGTTCCAGAATCATAAAGGTTTCTAGAGGAAATATGAGAATCTCTTGGAAAAGCTCAAGAAACATTTTTTGAAACATGACTGTAATATTATCTATGCTTGAGCTAGCTTAGAAATTTATGAATGCAGCCAAAAATAACACTTTAATATAAATGAAAATAAAAGAGCTTTCACATAACCAGAACAGTGACTAAAACAGTGGCTTAATGGATATAATGCATATACTAGTAAATCTTTTGTGGTTAAAGATATCTCCTGTTTATGGATCTACTCTGTTCATTCCTTTCATTGTTTGGATTTGAGTAGTTTCACTTATCAAGCTTAAAATGAATTGCATTAGAAAAGGTTCAACAATGCTACTCAAGATATTAAAAGCAATGACTTACCTTCACAGTTTCCAAGTCTCCAGCTTTAGATGCCTCTAGAAGTCGATAGTCAACATCTGAAGTACGTATTGGTGTACTTTCTACATAAAAGGAAGGATTACTGTTGGTTTTTAAGAAATCATAAAGTAGTTAACGAGGGAAAATTATTATGCAAAGAGAGAGAGTAAGGGGTCAGATTCTAAGGTCTAACATAGGGTTTTTCCCCAGTCTTTTTCAGATAAGAAATAAGTGGTTTCTTACTTCAATATATATCTATCTCATCCTAAGCCAAATTTAAATAAATTGTAAGACACACTTATCTTTCTCCATCCCTACTACTCTGTCCTTCACATTTTCTGGACAGAACTTGGCAAAGAGGCATAAAGAAACAGGACCATGAGATCGAGAACATCTTCATGATACATTGATCTTACAAAGTATTATAGCAAAAAGTTTTGCCATGGATTTTGTTATGTAAACTGAGGGAAGCCACTCAACTTTCAGTACTTAATGTTTAGCCTTTTCTTTGGGCCTCAATTTCCTCGACTGAAACAATAAGTACTACCTCTAATATCAGTGATCTTAAAAGGCCTACTAATATAAAATTTTAATTCACATTTATTGAATGATTTCAGGGAAATGCAATTTAATAAAATGTCTAAAATTGGAAGGTATGATACAAATGCTAAGTAGAATATAATTACATCAGGTTGTTAAGTATGAGGCTACAAGTATGAGGCTAACAAATGAGGTGTTTTGATTAATCCAATAAAAAAACCCCAAAATTTCATTACAAATTGGCCCGAATAAAAAGGTTTTTAAAGAAAACAATCTGTACTTGATCATTCGAAGTACATTCATGGACATTAAGTGTGGCTTTTATAGTGCACATGTGTACACACACTCAGATAACACAAAAAAGGACTAAAGTCCAGGAGACCTGTATTTAGACTAGGCTCTATTAACTGTGATGATGGACAAATCACTTAATAGCTTAGTTTTTACACCTATAAAGTGAGTGCTGGTTTCCCTTAAATTCTCTTTCAGATTTAAGATATTATCATATGATCTGACATATTTCCTGAGTCCACTGTCCAAATAGGAACATCTAATGATGCTAAAAAAAAAAGGTTTCGGATTTCAAAATACTTTTGTCTCTTTATAGTTTATAGTGCTTAATTCAGGAGAGGCTTTTACAGAATAAGTTATAAGAACTCTTCAACATAAGAGAAACTGCATTTATTTAGTCATAATAATAATAGCAGATAAAATGTTAAAATTAAAGAGAAAAGATGAGAATATTTCATATACTGAAGTACATTTTTTGAAATATTAACAACTATTTTTCTTTAAAAGGGAGTATATTACATTTGTTAGTTTATGGAAGTGTTGAGGAAAGGAATCAGGTCTTGCTTATCTTTATATTTCTTTTAACATGGAGAGTATTCAGAAAGCATTTGCTGAAGTGAATTCCATGTTATTTCATATTGGGGTCAATGTGTATGTCAAATTATAGCTCTTTCTTTGCGTGCCCTTATTCTGTTCTTTCATGTCTCATATGCCTCCATTCTAACTGTGCATGACATTGATGGCATTTGTAGGTGTGTATATTATGCCTCTATGACAGTGACTCTGGCAGTTGGTAAAACTCACTGAAATAGCTTTTGGATATTTATAGGTAATATTTTTAGTTTATCATTTCAACAGAATAAAATAACAATTATGTATACAGAAGTAGAACTTTGAATATTTTCAGCTCCTAGCATTTGAGGGATACAATTAATATAGCTGAATTTTTTAACTCTAAGAACTATTTGAAATTGGCACACAGGTCTTGATGTAGACTGATTTGCAAAATGGTATAATTGTACAATCAAAAAATTTCATGCAAATATAAGAATGCTTCTGAGAACTATGAGAATTTCTTAGTCCTAGTCAAAAAGTAGAAAGTAAAAAAGTTACTTAAAGATACTGATTAGGTATTATCCAAGTTATAGAGCTTTGCATCCATTATAAATCCTGAATAGGCTCAGAACAGATTCATTTCTAGAAACAATGTGAACAACGTATTAGCTGAAAGGACATACACCCAGTCCAGCAATTTTATACACAGAGGTGCACAATTAAAAGAATATAAAAAGGAAATTAGAAAGGAAACAGGCAAAAGACTAGTTGATATGCAAAATACTGTATTAGTCAAATCCTTTATATGCACACTGGCTTCTGCAGAGTATGAAATTAAATATTTCACCTAGGGTCAAATGTTAGAGATGGGCTTCTAATTTTTTCTCTGATTCTATTCTGGGTCACCAGAATTAAAAAAACAAACAAACAATCTAAAGTTTCAAATGCTGAAAGGTAGTTTGTTATTTTAAAAAAATCTCCTGTAGATTCCCTGTTTAGCTAGTACTAGACTATAGTACTGGCAATAGGTATCAGTGGCTTATTTCAAGGTACAAATGTAAATGGGGATTTTAATATTTAATTTAGCTTTCATAAATCCTCAAATCCTCACTTCTATAAAGGATTAGGTAAAAGCAATGTAATAACTTGAGATATAAATCAGAAGAATTCATGTCAAGATTTGTTCTAAAGAACTGTCTGCGATGCTAGAAATATTCTTCATCTGTGTTGTCTAATAAATCTGTTCGTCATTTGTACTAGCCATATTTCAGGTACTGAATAGCCACTAGCCATGTGTGGCTATTCAGTACCTGAAATATGGGTAGTACAAATGACGAACAGATTTAAAAATTTTAACTAATTTAAATTTAGCCACATGTAGCTAGTGGCTACCAATTGAACAAAGCAGGTCTAAAGAAAGCAGGTCTTCAGAAAAAGTCAAACTTCTAAAACAATGTTTTAAAATGACTGTTTATAAAGAACTGCTTATCCTATTTTCTTTACTCTGACATTAATTTTGACATAAATATTGCCAGTTTACAATTAAAACTTTATTAATGTTGGCAACTACAGATTTGGGAGCTGAAAGTGAAAATTTCTAAAAGTGGCTCTCAAACCTGATATTAACAGGTATATTCAAATGAATCTTTAAAATGTTACCCAGAACAGAATCCCAACAACTTACTATATATCATATATATGATATGTGCATATTTTAAGAAGTTGTTATTGAGATAATTGGAAATTGGATTATTTAATGTACATATAACTGGAAAGTTCAGCTAGTTCATTTTCCAAAGACTATAGACATACGAGTTTCTCGTAGAAATATTAGTTTAAAAAATTATATCCTCTTCCAAACAAGAAGAAGTCCCCCTTTTAAAAAATCTTTCTAAGGACAAGATGCTACCATATAATTATATTATTGGTATTATCTTTCCAGGTCAATAACGAATATGAAGAATTAAACTAAAAAGTTCTGGCACATACTAAATTAAGCATTTAATTAACTTTATGATGTTTTACCTAACAAATCAACTTTTAAGAATGATCAAAAAATTTAACATGTGATTCCAAAACGAGGCAAAGACATTACAAAAAAAGAAAACTATAGGCCGATATCTCTTATGAACACTGAGGCAAAAATGTTCAACAAAATATTAGCACACCAGTTTCAGCAATACATTAAAAATATCATACACCATGATCAAGTTTGATTTATTCCTGGAATGCAAGGTTGGTACAATATCCACAAATCAATTAATGTGATACAACACATTAACAAATCGAAAGATAAATACCACATGATCATATCAATAGATGTAGAAAAAGGGTTCGACAATATCCAGCATCCATTTATGATAAAGACTCTCAGCAAAGTGGGAATAGAGGGAACATACCTCAACATAATAAAGGCCATATATGACAAACCTACAGCTAACAGCATACTCAATGGGGAAAGGCTAAAAGCATTTTCCTTAATATCAGGAATAAGACAAGGATGCCTACTTTCACCATTCCTCTTCAACATTGTATTGGAGGTCTTAGCCACAGCAATAAGACAAGAAAGAAAAATAAAAGGCAACCAAATTGGAAAGGAAGAAGTAAAACTCTTGTTATTTGCTGATGACATGATACCATATATAAAGAACACCAAAGATTCCACTAAAAAACTGTTAGAACTGATCAATGAATTCAGTAAAGTAGCAGGTTACAAAATAAATATTCAGAAGTCAGTGGCATTTTTATACACCAATGATGAACTTTCAGAAAGAGAAATTAAGAAAACAATCCCATTTACAATTGTGTCAAAAACTATACAATACCTGGGAATCGAATTAACCAAGAAGAGAGAAGATCTGTTTTCAGAAAATTATAAGTCATTGAAAAAAGAAATTGAAAAAGATACAAATAAATGGAAGCATACCGTGTTCATGAGTAGGAAGTTCATATACCATGTTCATGAGTAGGAAGACTCAACATTGTTAAAATGGCCATACTACCGAAAGCAATCTATAGATTCAATGCAATCTCTATCAAAATAACCAATGGCATTTTTCAGAGAGCTAGAACAAATTATCCTAAAATTTATATGGAGCCATAAAAAACCCCAAATAGCCACGGCAATCTTGAGAAAGAAGAACAAAGTTGGAGGTATCA